CGCAAGGATCTCCGCCGGATCGCGGGGCGTCCGTCTTCGACACCGCGCGATCCCTTCATCAAGCGCGGTAGGACTAACCAGCCGACACGTTTTGGAAATCTCGCTTTCAGGTATCCCCAGGTCACCCTGGAGGAAGCTCAGGGCTGTGCGAAGGTATCCCCCCTCCTGTAGTGTCTGAGCTGCTTTTTCTATGTCGTTGACGAGGAGATGTAGTTCTCGAAAGCCCTCATTGTGAGCAGCGCCATGCGCAATAAGGACATCGCGATCACTCCAGACCTTGTAGGGGATGCGAGCTCGATACAACATGAGGCATGGCTCCCAGTATTTATCCTTGAATACCGGATACTTTCTGACTTGTATGAGTGGCTCAGGCTGTTCTTCCTTGGACTTAAGAGAGCGAACTCTTGTTATGAAGCTCGTAATGCGCTTGTATTCCATGGTGCGGATAGTCCTCCTTTCGTGTCCGTTTGCTTCGAGAAACGACGCAGCGAAGAGTTAGCTGAGACATTTTGAATCTGGCATTGATGATGCAGAATTGCGTAATGATACAGATGAGGTAAAGTTTGCATGGCCCAGGAATCAATGGTTAACGTATCTGGTATAGTTCCAGCCAAGTTATATCCCACTATGTGATTAATATGCTTTTCACTAGATTCTGCGTTCCAAGGCTTCCACATTATCATCAAAACGTACGGTAGTCAGCCTCGCAACGGTAGTCCAATGATGCTTTATAAGTCTTGACAACTTAGCCTATCTTACAGTGCATTCCACAAATATCATAGGACCTAAAGCCATAAGTCACATTATAACTGCACGGAGAGCTGGTTCTGTAAGGAGTAAGGACTTAGGGCTTTGGTAGATGAGAGGTCAGGTGACTGACTTACGCCAAATATTTGTCATTTCAGTCACGTGACCAGCGAGTCCGCGACTTGCTGTCTCCATGAAGGTGAGTATAATTCTGTCAAATAATCCTAAACGTCAATTTGATAAGAACGAGCGAGATACCATATTGACACTAAAAAGAGACTCTTGATCTTCAATCATGAACACACCCAGCATCTCCTTCACAAGCCTCGGCTTGGTAGTCCTCGACGAGATCCGCTTCCCCAACCAGGAGCCATTAATCGATGTTCTTGGCGGTTCTGGTGCCTATGGTTGGTTCTTTTCTAGTGTTTTCAACTGACTGCGATGTACAACCTGTTGTTGGGCTGATCCGACTGGTGCAGCCACGCTTGGTGCTCGATTATTCCTCCGCCATCCGCTGAGCCATACCTTGGGCTGGATGATTCATACGGGAAATGACTTTCCAAAGCTCATGGAGGACCGGTTAAAAAGCTGGGATACAACATTGATCGTAGAAAGAGAATCAGACAAGCCATCGACCAGAGGTTTACTGGAGTATGAGGATACTACGTTTGGACGTGCGGAACTTCCTGACTCATCCGTCATGGACGACAAGAAGAACTAATCAACCCAGCGAAACACTTCACGTACACAACACCCCTCCTCCCAGTCCACGACAGCAACCTAAAGAACACCCCGCTCCTAACCTCAAAAGCATACCACTACCTCGAGACCTCCCAAGCCATCAAAACCCGTGTCTCGAGCCTCCTCGCTCTCAGAAAAGAAGCAGGCGCGCTAGACCGCCCTTTTATAGTCTGGGAACCTGCCCCTTACTCCTGCAAACCCGAGAACCTCCAGCCATGTCTGGACGCCGCACACGTCGTCGATGTGCTCTCCCCAAACCACCTAGAGCTCGCCGCGCTCTTTGGTGAATCACCAGCAACCGCTCAATACAAGGCCACGATTGAGTCCTTGGCGCGCAGAATTCTGGAGAGCGGCGTCGGCCCAGACGGGAAAGGCACCGTGGTCGTCCGGGCAGGCGAGAACGGTAGCGTCGTTGTCGCTCGCGATATCCCTCCCACGTGGCTGCCCCCTTTTTATACGTCCGGACCAGGGTGGACGCAGCAATCCAAGGTCGTCGATCCGACCGGTGCCGGTAATGCATTTCTCGGGGCGTATGCCGTAGGCTACCTTCACACGGGAAATGTGGTTGAGGCGGCTTGCTACGGGACCGTGGGAGGATCATTTGCGCTGGAGCAGGTAGGAATGCCGGAGAAGAGCGACGGCGAAGATGGTGAGTTGTGGAATGGTGCGGACGTTTTTGAGAGGTTGGCTGAGTATAGGGAGGTGGCTGGACTTGGGGCCTTGGTTTGACGCTTCCCTTTTTTCGGCGTACGAATACTGCACTGGATGTAAGGATCCAGGAGAGACTATTCAACTCGTCTGTGATTAACATTTCCAACAAGATTGAGCGTTGACCGTAGTAGAATGTATCCTGCAGCTAAAGTATGAGAATGTCTTACCACTTCTATTACCTTCTGAACAGACTCGGAAGTCCTACCAACAAGCTCCGAAATGACTGGTCCAGCTAAGAACCCAGCAAACGCAAATTACGCATACAGAGACCAGCCTGATCGCTTCTAGGGCCAAGGAAACTGCGTTGCGATTTTGCCAATGTACTCGCCCGATATTGTGTCAGGCATCTGGTGGCATTGATCGCCTGCGGAGATATCTGAATCCGCACCGTTTTCAGACTGCAGCTAGTCATCAACGCAAGGCCGCGAGGTGCATCACAGCGTCGTTGAGTCGAAAGATAGGAACATGACAATCTTCTCAGCTACGTTCCCTGGAGGTATGTCAGTCAATTGAATAGGACCTCTCCGAGCCCAGCCCCTGACGAGTCTGTTGCAAGATGCCTTGGCTACATTGTCACAGCACAAACAATTGAGGGCTGTTATTCAGAGCTTGGGGACTCCGTGTAGGCACCAGTGGGAATAAACCCTCGGGGGCTAGGCTCAAGCCACACGGATAATTATCCTTGTATACTCAGAAGGATTGGTATTTCTGCCGGCAACATAATGTCACATTGTATCTGATGGTTTAAGTTAAGCCATTAGCCACTCATCCCTTGTTCTCTGCTTTGTGAACTTCATAAGTCATTGACGTTAGATGTAAGTCCACGTTATTAGTTAGCATAATGCTGAATAACGTGTGGAAATCATGATTCACTATCGATGCATTGATGGGACTGTTTACTTCCGGCCCATTACTCCATTATGGTTTAGATGAGTGGCTTTCTTCATCATCAGTCTGATCTGTTCCATGTGAGTTATTCTGTACGTCGTCCTTCAGATATTTTCCTTAGTTAGGGCCTTCATCATAAGAGTCCTGACTATCAGGATGACATTCATCATAATAATTCAAGAGGTTGATAGATGATGGGAGGAGAGGGAGTATGCAAAGGACACCGGAGAGAAGCAGCGAAATAACTTCATTGAATATATTCCTATGTCGCTGCCCACATATGGCCTGAATCCGAGGGGTGGAAGTAAATGATCATTAACCTTATCTGTGAATAAGTCTTCCTAACAACATCGGGGGTTGACCAAAGTATAATGTATTCATAGCTCAAGTATGAGTGAATCTCTTGCCTCCTCTGGTGCCATCTGGACGGACATGGATGTCTGCAGAAGCGGTTCTAGCGCCTGTAGAAGAACAGTCGAAGCTATTTGCATGTACCCACACGACTGCTCCAGCCTGTAGTCCCACTTCATCCCCTTCCGTAGCAGTTGCGCTCCAGCAGTAACATGATGCGGATGTGGATCGATAACCACGAGAGGAATAGGCCTAGAACCAGAGCCGTTTTGCTGTGAGATTGCGAATCAGGAGCAGCATCAATCCCCCTTATCCTCGAACCTGACCACGCTCATCCCGTCAGGCGATCCGTCAGTCTCGCTGTTTCACTGCATCAATGACAATCAGGATATATGGATTGTAATACAGCATAAAGCCATCTAAACTCGACAGCCTGATTCCAACTTTGCCAGTCGCAACATTTACGTAAAGGTCGGCACGGCGGATACAACCGTCGGCTGAACATCATGACCCAGCGAATAGCTAGCTCATTTGCTTCGCCAACCCCAGCAACATCACCCCGATCAACGCCGAGTCCGCAGCACATACCTTCTCGACAGACCTTGGCACCCTCGCAACAACCCCTGAAGCATTGCGACCTCCCTATATCAAACTGTGGCTGCGGTGGCGTGCTGAACTGGCTAGACGGGTCCCTTCGTCCCCGCAGGGAAGGCACACTGTCCGAATCGGTGTCTCAGTCTTGGAGAGTAGCGGATACGGAGCAGCTGGCATGGTTCATACAGGCTATTTGTATATGCCTGTCATACAAGCCCGGCGTATATATTGCGATGCATGGGTGTCTGCAGAGCATGGAAATATCGGGGAAAAGCCCTTTGTGAATACGGGGTAGAGGCAGTAGGCGGATGTGAACGATATGCTTGCGCTGTTTTCGTAGGCAACAGTGGATAAGTTGCTGCGGATGATTGAGGGACGCTGTTTTCGAACCAGAATGAGTGATGGCATTGGGCGGGATGGTATGATCAGGATTGTAACTTTTATCCTTTCAGCCTGTCTTCTGATACGGACGATGGTGATACATGCAGGAGTCCAGATGGCGGCCGTGGTGGATCAGGTTAGATGGGTTAGCAATAGCTGACAGGGTGGTCTTCAGGAGAAGACCCTTAACAAAAGGGGCAACGGCTCGATCCGCATAGAAAGAGGAATATATCCGGCTGACCTCTTCAATCGGCAAAATGACCTGCTATCAATTGCCGTTGATTTGATGTAGGACCCTACTACCGGTGGAGGATCGACAAGCGGATATTAAAGTAAAGCTTGGCTGAAACAAGCCCAGTCGCAGAGTGACAACATTCTGCAGAATTTCCTCAGATAGATTGATTGGACTGAAGGATGAAACTGAATATAGGCTAAACGATAGACCCTGAATCCGGTGGAGTATCTGTACTTCTGGCAGCACTTTCGACTATAAATACGGCTTTCAGGTCAGAAGACTTCACTCTCAGCAACAACAACAACAGCAACTCAAACATCCAAAAATCTGATTCAATTCAATCGAATTCAAAATGGTCGTCCTCAGCAAGCTCCTCAGCAGCATTCTCTTTGTCTCCCTGGTCTCGTCGGCCGCGATCGAACGCCAGGCAACCAGCATCAACCAGGCCTTTACATCCCATGGCAAAAAGTACTTTGGCACCTGCGCCGACCAGCACCTGCTCCAGAACTCCCAGAATGAGGCCGTTGTGCGCAAGGACTTTGGCCAGTTGACGCCGGAGAATAGCATGAAGTGGGATGCTACTGAGCGTAGGTAGCTGTCATTGCTGGCTGACATACCTTATTGACATATCTCTGTTTAGCATCTCGAGGAAACTTTAACTTTGCCGGTGCTGATTTCTTGGTATGAAATTTGCTCATCTCTGCCGAGTATATACTAATTTCAAATAGGTCAACTATGCCAAACAGAATGGCAAAAAGGTCCGCGGACACACTTTGCGTATGCCCCAATATACAACATCTCAAGGATACAGGATAAGCTGACAGTGTAGTCTGGCACTCCCAACTCCCGTCCTGGGTGTCGTCTATCAACGACAAGAACACCTTGACCTCGGTGCTGAAGAACCACATCACCACCATCATGACCCGGTACAAGGGCCAGATCTACGCCTGGGTAACTTGCCGTCTATCCAACATGAAGCCAGCCCAGCTAACATGTCCAAGGACGTCGTCAACGAGATCTTCAACGAGGACGGCTCCCTCCGCAACAGCGTTTTCTACCGGGTGCTGGGCGAGGACTTCGTGCGCATCGCCTTCCAGACGGCTCGCTCCGTGGATCCCTCTGCCAAGCTGTACATCAACGATTACAAGTAAGCATTTGTTCTGGCTGGACGTGAGCTGTATCTGACCGTCAAAGCCTCGACTCGGCTAGCTATGCCAAAACGCAGGGGATGGTGAATCATGTCAAGAAGTGGTTGGCTGCGGGCATTCCTATCGATGGAATCGGTGAGCCGAATATGACCTTGCTGTGATGATGTATACTGACTCTCCTGGAAAGGCTCTCAAAGCCACCTTGGTGCGGGCGCTTCCCCAAACGTCAAAGGATAAGTCTCCCCTCCTGATTTGTCTACGTAAAGCTGACCCCGTGCACAGCACTGACTGCCCTTGCCTCCAGCGGCGTCTCTGAGGTCGCTATTACTGAGCTTGATATCGCGGGTGCTAGCTCCCAGGATTACGTCAACGTAAGTCTTTTGCTCGCCAGGTGCAGGTAATCGAAGCTAATGAGAATAGGTTGTCAATGCATGCTTGAGTGTCTCTAAGTGTGTGGGAATCACCGTCTGGGGTGTGTCGGACAAGGACTCGTGGCGCTCCAGCTCTTCTCCTCTGTTGTTCAATAGCAACTACCAGCCCAAGCCGGCGTATAATGCCATCATTGCTGCTCTGTGATGTGGCATTATGTACGGAGCGGAGAGTTGTACATATGGTGCGCTGAGTTACACAATTCAATCACCCTTGCATAAACAGAAGCGCTGTGGCGGCCAATCCCAATGAAGTATCGATGCACTGTCAGCGATATGCAAGTGCAATCGCTGTAACACACTCCGCCTAAATTGGAATGTCATCGTCAGCTGTGCTGATTATAAATCTCGATTCCTGCCCACTCCCAGATTCCAGCAGACAATGGCTCCATACATTCTCATCGCTATTGCCGGCATCCTCAGCCATGTCCTTTACTTTCGACATGGCGAGCATCACATCTACAGCCGTATCTATCTCGTCCTCCTTGTTGTTTCCACCACCGTCGCAACCGTATTCTCCCACTACAGCTATATGCTGGTCTATCTTGCCAGCCTTTATACCAGCATTCTAGTATACCGTCTCCTCCTCCACCCCCTGCACTCCTTCCCCGGCCCTCTTCTCGCCCGCGTATCCAATCTCTGGTTCATCTTCCCGAATCGCAAAGCACATCTTACCCTCCAGAATTTACATAGCCAATATGGCCCAATCGTTCGCACCGGCCCCTCAGACCTCTCCATTCTCTACCCATCCGCCGTCCCAGCCATCTACGGCTCCCAATCCCCTTGCACAAAATCCACCTGGTACGACTCCACCTACCCTTCCCGCCCCCTGCAACACTGCCGCGACATCAAAGAGCACAACGCCCGCCGCCGGACCTGGAGCCCCGCCTTCAGCGACAAGATGGTCCGCGGCTACGAGCAGCGCATCAAGACCTACCAGCAGCAGCTCATCGCCCAACTAACCACCCTGCAAACCGTCGACGTCCGCAAATGGATCTACCTATACAGCTTCGACGTCATGGGCGATCTCTCCTTCGGCCGCGGGTTTGACTGCCTCACAACCGGCCGTGAACATCCTGCCATCACCCTGCTAAACGCAACCATGAACCAAGTCGGCCTGTTCTTCCCCCCGTGGCTGCACCTCATCCTGCTCCGGATCCCCGGAGTCGCAAGGGACTGGTGGCGCTTCCTAGCCTTCTGCAGCGAGAGGCTCCAAGCACGCATGCGCATGGACGTGCAGATCCCCGATATCAGCGCCTCGCTGCTCGCCCCGCTGAAGGGGCGGGAGCCCACCGCGGCGGAGAAACTGAATCTCGACGGCGATGCGCGGCTGATCGTCGTGGCGGGCAGCGATACCACTGCCGTGACGCTTTGCGCGATTCTATACGAGCTCGTGCGGCATCCTGAGGAGATGCGCAGACTGCGGGAGGAGGTTGAGCCGTTCGTTGATGACGTGGGGGAGGTGCGCGGGGCTGATGTTACGCTTTTGGAGCATCTCAATGGGGTGATTAATGAGGCGTTGAGGATGTATCCGGCTGTTCCCGGGGCTTTGTGGCGGAAGACTCCCGCAGAGGGGATCTGGGTGGAGGGCGTGCATATTCCTGGGGAAATGACGGTGTATTGTCCGCAATATGCGATGGGGAGATGTAAGGCTACGTCTGCTGTGGGATGTGCCAGGAGATGCTAATTGTATCGCGCAGCTGAGCTATGTTATGCGCGGCCGGACGAGTTTATCCCAGAGCGATGGTACAAATACCCGGATCTGATCAAGGATCGCTCGGCGTTTGCGCCGTTTACTCTTGGTATGTACCCGCCTGTGATTCTGAAATACTGAGAGCTGACGGCGATAGGTCCGTATAACTGTATTGGCCGGCCAGTGGCATTGTTAAATCTTCGCACTACACTCGTCAAACTGATAACAACGTTTGATGTGGGATTCGCCCCGGGGGAGGATGGGTGGGCATTTGTGCAGCAAGCGCAGGACAACTTTGTGCTGTACATGGGGCCGTTGCATTTGACTTTTACCCGGAGGAGGTGACGCTTAGATCAATCATGATAGTTCAATGCTACTGTGTTGCATATAGGGATGGGTTGTGTGTTACTATCAAAGCGGAAAAGAATACAGTTCTCTCATGGGCAATCTTGCAACTACAATGGAACACGTGAGTGATTAGGAGAAGAGACATCCATGTAGATAGACGACATATGACCAGAAATGGCAATATTGAAGCTGTTGTGAGCTGCTATAGCACTTGTTCACGAGCTAATCCTGAAGAGGAAGCTAACTGCCTGAAATGAGGGGCATCATGTCAGCCTCTGCCAAAACACAAGGGTACAACCTCACTGCCCATCACGAGTGCGCGCCTAACCACCATGGCTCGAACGACAAGCGACCCTTTGGATGACACACTGTCCGCACTCTGGCGTTCTGCCTGCGACGACTATGCTAAAGAAACCGGGGTCGCACTTACCGATGGCGACTTCCCCAAGATCCGCGGTCCCGAGGATCTGTCCCGTCAGCTCGACGCAGAGAAAGACCATTTTGAGGACTTTCGAATGAAGAGGCGGCCGCTCTTGCAGGCTATGCAGAGGATTCTGGCGCCGTTTGAGAACTGGGGCGATCTGCTTGCGGGTGCAGCCTCGGCAGCTTTTCCTCCAGCGTCTTCCATCATGGGCGCCATGATGCTTCTGATTCGAGGTGCTCGCAGAGTCAGTGAATCGTTCGACATGCTTACGGACTTGTTTCACAAACTCGGTCATTTTGCTCTCCGTCTGGACTCGTACAAGGGGGTTCCTCTCAGTGAAGGGATGAAGACCATCATTGTCAAAGTTTTGGTCAATTTCCTTCGTGTCTGCGCAGCGTCGCAGAAGTTGCTAAGTCGGGGGTCGCTCAGAGCAAGACTTACAAAATGGACAAAGAACGTCCTGGTTGAGGATACGTCTATTAGTTCGCTCCTGGGCGAGCTGGAGGAATTGACGAGCCAGGAACACAAGATGGTCTCCGCTCATGGGCTCGATCTCACTCACCAGGCGCTCAGAAACACCGCGGAATTACTCGAGCGAGATGACAACAGGACTGATCGCGAGAGACTAGACACGGTGAAGAGGGCACTAGATCCCGTCTCTGCCTCTGGCCGCGTCTTCTCCTCGATTAACGAGAATCGCATACCTGGATCGGGCAGCTGGATTGAAGACAGGATACGGTCCTGGTGGCAGAGCCCCCAGCCACTGCTTTGGATTCACGGGGGTCCTGGTGTGGGTAAATCATACCTGGCATCGAAGATCATCAGTGATCTCGCGATGGCAGACCCATCCGCTCCATCTGCGCCCATAGTCGCCTCTTTCTTCTTCAAGAATAACGACGTCGATCTACGCTCTTTCAACAAAGCGCTGCGCACCCTGGCATGGCAAGTGGTCGTCCAGCGATCGGGATTTGCGGCGCATGCAGAGGATTTCTGTCTGAAAGAGGACCCAGCCAACAGCTACGTCGTCTGGAGGCAACTCTTGCTTGACTACTTTGTCGAGTCTGCACCGGATGCTGGAACGTGCTTTATCATTGACGGTATTGATGAGGCCGATCCAGAGGAACAAGAAATCCTTTTCAGTCTGCTCGAGAGCACGTATGCGACAGAGGACCAGACGAGCCCGACTTCACCAATCCGAGTCGTACTTCTGGGCAGGGATTCAGTGCGCAGCATTCTCGATGAACACTCCCTTGGGTGGATTCCGGAGATCGAAATCACCAATAACCAGAACAAGGACGACCTGAACAGCTACGTCTCTCAGAAGCTGCAGAAGACCAAGTTGTTCCGCGGCTATTCAGACTTCCTGGACGAGGTCGTCCAGGATATATGTGGGCAAGCGGAGGGCCTCTGGGAATGGGCCAACCTTGTCATTAAGTCTGTTCTGCGCTGCCGGACCAAAGAACAGATTCGGAGGGCGGTCCGGACGATGCCCCGAGGAATCAGCGCAATGCTGCATGCAGAACTGCAGCGTTTGGCTAGAGAGTTGTCGGCTCCAGATGTGATGTCGACCGGGTTATCCGATGGGGAAGGATCAACCGGGGAAGCAACGACGCAGATTCAACAGCTCAACATCATACTCTCATTTGTGACGATGGCTCAGAAGCCGCTGACGGTGGAACAACTCGACCTTATCTTAGAGATCATCCTTGAAGAGGAGGTCCTGAATCTGGAGGATGATCTTCGCACGATATACTCATCCCTGTTTTCGCTGCGGCCCGCAGAGGATGAAGGAGAAGACAACGACATGATCATTGTAACTCTGCGGCATAGTTCTTTTTATGAATTCTTCAACACGTCAGTGGAAGCTGGACCCATCCAGGTCGATCCCACGCGAGCTGAGGCGTTGTTTCTATTTGTCTTACTCTATGCCCTTCAAAGAGACTTCGCACCCAAATCAGAAAGGTGGCTATTCAGGATCAAGAGATACGCTCAGAAATTTCTGACACTGCATCTGTCGCGTGCAGATCCAGAAAAAGCAGCAGATCGAAGAGAAGAGATAGCCACTCTACTCGCGGGTCTCTTCACCCAGGAGCCGGTATTCAACCCTCAGCACTGGCTCATTGAACAATACCGCGCCTTTTACCTTACCACGTCCATTTATTATATGTCGTCTCGCGCATCAGACGTTGCTCATTACTGGTGGGATACTCAAGATCGTGATACGGCGAACCAGAGGGCGGAATTCGTACTGAATTGGCTCTCCCCAGATACTAAACAGCTCCTGCAGGATTGTGCTCTGTCTTCGACGGTGGCAAGCGATGCCTGTCCTTTTACGGTCCTTTTCTCTCGTTTGGCAGAATCTTTCTCCCGACTTTGGCTCGCTCCGAAAGATGTCGAAGAGGAAGATGGATTACCGGAAATTCTCCCCACCATGCTATATTTGTATGCTCAAATGGCAGGTGCCCAATTTCCAACCTCCGAGAGGAAGATAGACGTAGGCACAAGATTGGAGCCTGACGAGATCGTGTGCACAGCCGAGATGCAATGTCTCGAGAAGACGCCCGTCTGGCATGCTCGAGTTGCTCAGGCGCTCCTCCTGCATTACAACTCCAAGGCAGCTCTCAAAGAATTCCAAATCTCTCTCGATGAGAATCTCTGGAATCCTATCCTGAGCAAACAAGCGCTATCCGTGATTCACAGAGACATGGGTCGCGCATGTACCGACACCAGAAGGTACAAGGAGGCATTAGAGCACTCTGAACTTGCCGAGTCGCTGCATGACGCCTCCTGGGAGCGTGGCTGGCAGGATCCTGTCGGCAAGCTGCTGAACACTGCGCAAATGGAGCACTTCGCGAAAATGACCGACAAAGCTGTTGTCACCGCAAACGAGGCCTGGGAAGTATTCATGGGACAAGAGGAAGATTATCGAGACAGGTATACTCTGTGTTCGTTCTTTTCGGTCTTTCTGGAGCTGCGCCAGACACACCGTGTTCACGATGTGCTAGATTTTGCCGTTTCACATCCTCAAGAGTTCAGGTGGACCAAAAAAGAAGGATTGGCCGAGTTCCTCGCTTCAATACTAACTTGGCCGTCCCGTTTAATATATAGACTCCTTTACTATGCGCGGATGCGGGATGATGGGAAGTTTATTGATCTTGTTGCCGCGGCTGCGGCAAGGGGCGAGGCCTCAGTGGGGGAAATAAACTACGCGGTGGCGACGGCGAAATACTTCATCGCATCCGTGATGTTTGAAAACAGCCGGATCAGCGCAGGAATCCAAGCTTGGTACGAGCTTGCCTCCCCCGACGACCCCGATGACTTGGCTATGAGACCGGCCTGGGTGCGGTCACGGAGTCGCTTGGCAGCCGTGTGTCTATACCATCCAGAGATTCCATTCTGCGACGGGTCCCCTCTGAGATTGGATAAAACGGCCGAATTTAGTGATATCTGTTTGGTGATCTCGAGTTGGCTGCGGGATCATGGTGATCTCGCAAACGCTCGAACAGCTCTCCGCGGACGTGTGAAGAAAAGTATCGAGCTATTAGCGGACGATGATCCTTCCAACGATGATGACGCCTTCATCGGCCTCTTTCTGACCTTTCTGGCGGCTGCGGACAGCGGTGAAGATTTGAATGGAGTCTTGTATTTGACCAAGGCTTGGTACAGGGACTATCTGCCGGGAGGGAAGAAGGACAATCCCATATCCGAATCTCTCACAGTGTCTTGCGATGACAGCGGGAATTTCCAAGATGGCGTCGCCGAATCTTTGAACCAAGTGCATCTTGCCGATGACAAGACGCAACGACCGGATGAAGAGTTTTCTGAACGCCAGAGCGTGTACACAATCGACTATTTCGCCGAGTGTTCGAACTGCAAGTGTGAGATGAGGTCGATATGCCACTGGTACTTGTGTCGTTCTTGCCCATTCGTGATGCTGTGTCAATGGTGCTACCACGATATCCAGTCAGCGATATCCCAGTCTGGAGCATCCCATCCACCGGGCATCTGTGATCCCCGACACGAGTTTTATTATACCGGCTCTCCGCTTCGGCCCTCCGAACGTGTGCCTGAGGGGATGATGATGCTTGAAAGTTCTGACGGCAAGAGGCAGACGATATGGATAGAAGAATGGAAGGATAAGCTGTCGGAGAAGTGGGAGACGGAAGACTTTGCCTTTGAGGGCGGACTGTCGGCCTGGTGTATGCGAGTATTGCCGGAGCCACAGAGAACTCGGTGGGCAACATTTTTCAAGTAGCTTGTTGGAGAGTAGGCATGGAAACGAGCGCCTATTTTTCATGTGCTGCTTTCCAGTGCCATAGTCTCTATGTCTATCAATATGTAGGACAATTCGTTCTATAAAAAGCTTCATACGCATTGACTTGGTTAATAATTTATACAGAGTATAGAACAATATTGAGCTTCTATAGTCAGACAATGCTTCCCTACTCTCTAGTCTATCATATGGTATAGCTGCCTCTATCATAGCATAAGTTGTGAGCAGTCAATCTGCATAAGCAAGCATAAACAAGCATACCTACCTAAAGGACCGACCTAATGAAATAATTGACCAATGAGACAGTCTCCCCAGAACCTTCCATTGGCTGATCGTTTGGGTATGTTTGACCCACCCACAATCAACCAGCCAATAGCAATGGAATACTCTGCTTCATGATAAATCTTAGTGGACAGTAATTAGGGTGAGACAATAGGACCAGAGACATAAGACACCATAAATAGTATCTATCTCTTCCCATCACTTCCGAAGACAAGGATGCGCTGGTGTGAAGGAAACAAAAAGAAATTTCCATCCCCTCTTCCATCTTTCTCCATCTATCATGATCATGTAGTTACCAGTTATACCAAATTACCAAAATCATATCAATCTACTCAATCTTTGTGTGAATAACTGCCAGTCATAGTTGGCAGCCCACCTTAATTACTACTAGACTGAGACTGAATAAACCGAGGCAAGGCAGGCAGGCATGGGCCTAACCACCGCCGCCATCATCGTCATCGTCATCGTCGCCTGTCTAGCCGCCGTGTCGCTGGGCGCCGCGCTCACCCGCCAACTGTACCCCGCCGAAGCCTACGAGCGCCGGTTCCAGCCCTCGCATACCCAGGAGATGTATATGCGGTCGGTGCGGATGAGAAATCTGGGGATCTTTCGTCGCGAGAGTCTTCATTCGTCTGTGGGGATGGGCAAGGATGTGGAGAGTCGATGTATGTTTCTTCACTTTTCTCTAGGGCTTCTTTCTGGTGTGCTGATGATGAGTAGATACCCTTGAGGAGGCGAGTTCGAGGGGATGAATTTCTATCTATGATTTGGATTGGATTGCTTGATAGATGGATGGATATGATATTGATTGATACCTTACCTATGGGCCATGGCGTTATGATGATGGATTGATGATATGATATGAATATGAGTACGAGTCCAGATACATGTTTTGCTCTGAATAACTACATATGATCATCGCTTAAGGATGCATACAACACAGTCCAACTCAGTGACTCAGAACGGTGTCTCATTCGCTGATAATGGGCGACTCGCAGATTCGTCCGCCCATTCCGCCTTCTTGGCAACCAGAGGAACCCTCTTGGCAACATCCCCTGATTGGCCCCCGGCGCACGTGTCTCACGTCCGGGCGCAGACTGTGGGGAATCGCCCTGTGGAGAGTTTGTCAGATACGACGATGCAGGCAATATATGACGTTGCCAAGCGGTTTGTCCATGCCAGGGCCAATGCCCGATTCTCGGCGCCAAGGGGGCCGCGGTGATGAGTTTTCGTTGTGGTGGGGGTCCTGACCTTCCTCGGGTGGTTTATAAACTGGCTGGTCCCTCTGATTTTCTCGTAGTTTCTCCTCTCAGTTGATTCCCAGTGGAATTGAGTCGAGCAAGCATGGAGAAAGGCGATGTTCCCGGCTCTGGCCCCGGCCAGGCCCCCCTCTCCTACCCAGCTCACACACTTCCCTATGAGGTCGTCCTCAAAGAACTCTCCACCAGACTCGATGAGGGTCTCACACCCGATGAGGCAGCCCGTCGGCTGCAGACATACGGCCCCAATAAACTCGACGAAGGCGAGGGCGTGTCCGTGGTCAAGATCCTCGTCCGGCAGGTGGCCAACGCAATGATGCTAGTTAAGGGACCCACTTTGGTTTTGGCTTGTAAACGAACTTGTCTGATCCAATTCTAGGTCCTCATCCTGGCCATGGCGGTCAGCTTTGGCATCCAGTCGTGGATCGAAGGCGGCGTCATCTGCGCCGTGATTGTTCTTAATATCGTTGTTGGATTCTTCCAGGAGTATGCTGCCGAGAAGACCATGGAGTCGTTGCATTCGCTTAGCTCGCCCACGGGCACGGTCTCCCGTGGTGGACAGACCTTTTCCGTCCCCAGTGCGGAGATCGTCCCGGGGGATATGGTCGAGTTGCGCACGGGTGATACTGTTCCGGCTGATATTCGGTATGCCCTCCCCCAGACCCCCGCCCAGTTTCTCTGGGAATTGGTGAGCTGATGAAACAAAGTCTGGTAGAAGCAGTCAACTTCGAGACGGATGAAGCCCTCCTTACCGGTGAATCTCTCCCCGTGCAGAAAGACTGCGACGCCACCTTCAAAGAAGACACCGGCCCCGGCGACCGGCTCAACCTGGCCTACAGCTCCAGCACCGTCACGCGCGGCCGGGCCCGCGGCGTCGTCATCGCAACCGGCATGGCTACGGAGATCGGCTCGATTGCTGCAGCCCTGCGCGCGGGAGACAGCCGCCGCCGACCTGTCAAGAAAGGCCCCAACGGCGAGACCAAGAAACGGTGGTATGTGCAGGCCTGGACGCTGACGGGGACGGACGCGGTCGGCCGGTTCCTAGGCGTTAATGTGGGGACGCCGCTGCAGCGCAAGCTGTCCAAACTGGCGATCCTGCTGTTTGGGGTCGCGGTGCTGTTTGCTATCATTGTGATGGCATCAAACAAGTTCGCCAGTAGCAATGAAGTGATTCTGTATGCGGTCGGCACGGGGCTGAGCATGATCCCGGCGTGTTTGGTCGTTGTGTTGACGATTACCATGGCCGTAGGGACTAAACGCATGGTCGAGCGGCATGTTATCGTGCGCAAGCTTGATTCGCTTGAGGCTCTCGGCGCTGTGACGGATATCTGTTCCGACAAGACGGGTACACTGACGCAGGGTAAGATGGTGGTCAAGAAGGCATGGATTCCTGCCAAGGGCACGTACTCGGTTGGCACCAACAACGAGCCGTTCAATCCGACTGTCGGGGAGGTCACTTTCACTCCGGTGCCGCCGGTTCGCTTCGACGAGGAGGAGGGCTCTGAGATCGTCGACCTGGAAGAGACGGCGACCAATGACCCCCGTCTTGAGGAATTTCTCAACGTCGCCGCCATGGCCAACCTGTCGCACGTCTACCGCTCCGACGAAGGCGAGTGGCATGCGCGCGGCGAGCCCACCGAGATCGCCATCCAAGTGTTCGCCGCGCGGTTCAACTGGAACCGCGACCGGTGGACCAAGGGCGAGAGTCCAGTCTGGCACCAAAAGGCCGAGTTCCCCTTCGACTCGACCGTCAAGAAGATGTCCGTCGTCTTCACCCGGTTCGACGGCGAGACCGAACGCAACATGGTCTTCACCAAGGGCGCCGTCGAGCGCATCCTGGACGCCTGCACAACCGTCATCTGGGAGGACGCCTCTACCCCGACTGCACTAACAGACGACCACCGCGCCACCATCCTGCAGAACATGGAGGAGCTGGCGAAGCTAGGGCTACGCGTGTTGGCTCTAGCCCATAAACCCTACACGGAAGCAAACCGGCTGCTCGAAGGCGCAGACCTCCAGCGGGACGAGATCGAGCGCGACCTGTGCTTCCTCGGCCTGATTGGGCTGTATGATCCGCCCCGCCCCGAAACCGCCGGCGCCATCCGCGCCTGCGCCCAGGCCGGCATCGCTGTGCACATGGTCACGGGCGACCACCCGGGTACGGCCAAGGCCATCGCGCAGCAGGTGGGGATCCTCCCTGCGGATCTGGGCAGTGTAGCCGCGGACGTGGCCGACGCGATGGTCATGACGGCGGGGCAATTTGACAAGCTCAGCGACAGCGAGGTGGACGCATTGCCGACCCTCCCGTTAGTCATTGCGCGGTGCGCCCCACAGACCAAAGTGCGGATGATTGATGCGCTGCACCGCCGGGGCAAGTTCGCCGCGATGACAGGCGACGGGGTGAATGACTCTCCCTCGCTCAAGCACGCGGACGTCGGCATCGCGATGGGCCAGGCCGGCTCAGACGTGGCCAAGGACGCATCGGACATTATCCTGACAGACGACAACTTCGCGTCGATCCTCAACGCCATCGAAGAAGGCCGGCGCATCTTCGACAACATCCAGAAATTCGTCCTCCATTTGCTTTCTGAGAATATCGCGCAGGCGTGCACGCTCCTCATCGGACTGGCCTTCAAGGACCTCGACGGCCAGTCCGTCTTCCCGCTTGCGCCCGTCGAGATCCTCTGGATCATCATGATCACCTCCGGCATGCCTGACATGGGGCTGGGCATGGAGATCGCCGCACCGGACATCATGGACCGCCCCCCGCAGACAAAACAGGGCATCTTCACCTGGGAAGTCATTGTGGACATACTGGTCTACGGCGTGTGGACCGCCGCGCTGTGCCTTGCGTCCTTCTCGTTGGTAGTCTGGGGCTTTGGCGACGGCGATCTCGCCCGCGGCTGTAACCGCGAGTACTCGGCAGAGTGCGACCTGGTCTTCCGCGCCCGCGCAACCACCTTTGTGTGTCTAACATGGTTCGCACTCTTCCTGGCGTGGGAGATGGTCGACATGCGGCGGTCGTTCTTCCGCATGCAGCCGGGGTCGAAGAAGTACCTGACACAGTGGATGTATGATATCTGGCGGAACCAGTTCCTGTTCTGGTCGATTGTTGCGGGGTTTGTAACAACGTTTCCCATCCTGTATATCCCAGTTTTGAACCATGTGGTGTTTAAGCATACGGGGATTTCGTGGGAATGGGGGATTGTGTTTGTGGAGGCGGTGCTGTTCTTCCTCGGGGTGGAGCTGTGGAAGTTTGCCAAGAGGGTGTATTTCCGCCGGGTAGCGGGGAGGAAGGTTGATCACGGTGTGCAGGGTTAACAGTGTCCGGGAGTTATTCTCTGCAGGTAGGTAGTAGATATAGACAGGACTAGGCAGATAGATAGATAGACAGTAGGAAGAAAAGTTCTGATTGATTGACAGCCACGTCACCAATCCTCCATCCTTCAACCCTAACATCTACTACTGGCCATTCTAAATCCCTCATACATGCATATCAATCGATCTCCAACCGAACCAACCTCCCCCTCTCCACTTCATACACATATCCCTTCACAGCCCCCTGGACAAGCCTACTCCCCCGCAGGAACCTCACATCTGCCCTCACGCTCTCCTCCAGATCCTTGAATGGCAGGAACTCAATATCAGAAGCATCCTCGCCAAGCTCCTCCTTAATCTTAGCTCTGATATCCTCGTCACTGAACGTGAGCATCCCGCAATCCGTCTATCACCATCAGTAACAGTGCGGTAGTCAAGGACAGGAAGGATGAGGGGGGCTACATGGTGAATGATAACCACTTCCTCCGTCCCCAGCAACCGCTGCGAGATTATCAGACTGCGGAGGGCCTCGTTGGCTCGTCCGCCTGCGTTGCGGATGACGTGTGCGTCGCCTTCGGTGAGGCCGAGGGCGGAGAAGACGTCTAACCTGTCAGTCATGGGAAACAGAAGTGATAAGGGGGGGCAGGGGGTACCGATGCGGGCGTCCATGCAGGTGACAACTGCCAGTTTGCTAGGTTTGTTAGTTTGATAGCAGTTGGAGAGGAGTAGGGTGCGTACCGTTTTGGGGGGATAGGGAGGTGGCCTTTGGTAAAGGCGGCGGCGTACTGCGCGTTGGCAGCTTCGATGTCTGCTATGTTGGTCATTGTGATGATATCATGATACTGATGATACTTAGAATGGATTTGAGATGATGTTCATCCGGTCTGTGTATATGTATTTAAGCCAAGATGATCTCGCAATCCACCCCGCAAATGGTGACAGATTGAGTTCGACTATACCTCAATATATACAAAGTCAGATATAGACTATTCAGTATAGACAGATACATCAAGCCTCCTTGTCATCATGATATGCTTGCTTCCTCCATCCATCCTCCAAGCCCAGCACCTTCCCTGTAATGATCCCTTTGATGGTAAACAGCGTATCGACAATCGCAATAATCACCAGCATCAGCAGCAGCGCCGTCGACCACACGTCAAACGCAGGCGAGTCCATAATATTTCCCAGCTGCACCGCACAGTTCGTATATACCCCCTATCGACATCAATAACCCTTCCATCGCAAAGGAAAGAAAGGAGACAACCTACCCAAGGAAAAACCAACGACCAAGCCCCCAAGCTAAACGTCGTACTCCTAAACCCCCTCGGCTGCGCCGCCAACGTATGCAAAATACTAATAATCGCAAAACACCACCAAAACGTCGCAAACCCCCACGACAACAACCCCCCAAATTGACTCACCGCGGCAATGGGGACCGCCGCCTGCGCGCGCAATAGCGTCCCCCGAGCATACGCAGGGAAGCTCTTCTGCACCGCATTCCCCAGACTCTGCAGCGCGAAGCCGCCCTGCCCGAATGGCCCGCAGAGGATCATATCCTGCCACACGTTTAGGGCCTGGGGCTGATGATCGGAGAAGTGCTGGAAGAGGATGACGGCGTCGAAGCCGAGGGCGAGGGCAATTCCCGCGCCAACGAGGAGGTATGCGACGATGATGAGGGGGACTTGGAGGCGGGGGCTGAGCGCGGCCGAGGTACAGATTGCGCCGCCGCCTGCGGCGCAGGTTAGGGCTGCGATTACCGGAAGTAAAATGGCTGGGGGGACGCGCTCGAGGCCGCTGGGTTGGAGTTTGAGTTGCACGTAGGGGATTGCGATGAAGGCGAGGGTGGAGAGGAAGGCGTCGATCCACCAGAGGACATAGACGCCGACGGCGACGCCATGGCTGCTGCCGTACTGCAGCGCGACCATCTGGATGATGGTTGTGTAGGTGATGACGATGCTGGCCAGGCAGGAGGTCTCGATGAGGTTATGGCGCAGTTCGTAGGCGACTTCCCTGGGGTAGCGGATGAGGCGCAGGATGTACAGGAAGAGGGAGATAGCGAGAAGAACTATCGTATAGATCCAGACGATCTTGGCGAGGATACGCAATGCGCCGAACTGGTAGTGCAGTTGGTGGAGGATGACCGAGATGATGCCGGTCCCTTGGGGGATGAGGAACCATTGTGGGGAGAAATTGAACAGCGCGCGGGCGGGAGGGTAGGATGGAGGATCCGGCATGGTATTGATCAATTTGATGTTGATCCATGTAGAGTATGTTAAAGAGTGGAAGCATAATTATCAATTTAGAAGTATAAGACGGAGAATGTCCGGATGACATCACCCACATCATTCTCCCCGCATCAACAAAGCTTATTTCCAGGATTATCTACAACACAATACTGTTGATAGATGTATTGATTGATAGATACATCTCTAATCAGCTATTCTTGATCTTATTGATGTAATAAACAAGATCACGAACTGTCAAAGACAGGTTATAACATGTACAGATCATTCTGGACAGTGCGTGTCATACCAGTCCGAATCATCTCTGCATCCTCATCTTCGATCTCGATCCCAAACTCCTATGTGTTGATTAATACTTATGTTGCTAAGAGCACTTGCTATATATACATACCTCTTCTGTTTTGAGCTGTAGCTCCACTGCATCTAAGGAATCACAGCCCAAGTCATCTATAAATGAGGAATCCAGCTTTATCTGTAAATCAACTTGTCAGTTGGAGTTTGATAAGAAATTAAACTGGATAAATAAGTTGGTGAATGCCTCTTGTTCATCTATAGCCATATGTTCTGATATGATTTTCTTCACTTGTTCCTCAATGCTGGCCATGGTAATAGTATGTGCAGCTTCAATGTATCAAGGTCGCAGAATAGAATAAAAGGTCAAGATAGTTCACAACTCAGCCGGGTCTCTTTCTTTCTTTAATACCCCGCTCCGCAGATTCTGGCGGGGCTGGCTGAGATGCTGAATTAATCAACTCTCTTGCCTAGATTCTTCGTCCACTTGGCGTCAAGCATTGGATTTGGTGGATTTGGACGTGTAGTACCCTGCAAGGCCAGACAAATCATAACTCACCTTATAGGCACGGATCCCTCAGTCCCCAGTAGCAGGTGGGTTCAGGACCGCGTCGCCTTTGAGCAAATAAATCATTGTACAATTTTATAAGATATACAGATACATGAATATCATTATCTGGTTATTTGCACTGCACAAGCTCAGGAAGAGCCCCTCTTTGCATCCATCCACACTCCATAACCTCCGTCGCAGTTTGCCTCTCTTCGGGCCGAAACGCAAGCATAGCTGTCAACATGGCCAGCAAGGAGACTTTCTCCTCCTCTCCCACCTCTTGTATCTTGGCCTCCCGCCTTGGCTCCTGCACCGAGTCGCTGAATCGTTGCTCCCAGGTCCTTGGATTGGCACCGCTGTGCCGTGTGCCAGCCTCGTTGAACCATCTCATCCGGGGTTCCCATTTTAACCACCATTCCTGAGGCAGCTTACCAAGCGCATCAACCTGTTCTCAGATTACCTAGTCGACTGAGGGATTGAATCCCTCAACTAGAAGGAAGGGCATTCTATTAATTTCCATGAAGCTCAAAGACATATCTCGAACTACCGCTCAACTCATTCCGTCTTGGATTTCCATCAAGCTCATCAGGCAAAAAGGAACCATGCAGCTCTGTTGTTTGCAAGCACCCTTTTTCGGTCGTGACTTTTGAACTCCTCTTCTTCCGTGTCACGAATATTACTACTATAACAATAATGATGACTACGACTCCTCCAACGACGCCGCCCACTATAGCCCCTACAGGTGTACCATGGCCGTGCTTCGTCTCTGTAGTACTGGCGGTTGTAGATGAGGTCCCTGTCGGCACAAGTAGTTCTCTCAATGACGAATCTGCCCAGGTAGCCGGATATGGCGAGACTTTCGTCCGTTCAGCAACAGTCGAGGGCTGAGAATAGCTCGTCAGAGCGGGCTGCCTCGTCAGTATGTTCAATCAACCAATGGCAAACAAGCAAGGCAACCTACATCGAACTTGGCCCTTGACTTTCCACTACTCATATCATAAATAAAAGCAGGCATGGAATAACAGCCAGCATCCTGATCATCAGCCCAGTTGATCCGTCCCCCAATCCCAAACACCTGTGGGCCATACGCTTCACAGACAAGCGTCATACGTTGCTGCTCGAGGTCCGCAGCTTTGTACCAGTGGAATGACGGAATGGAAAGGTAGGATCTGCGGATATCAGCTTCGCGCCGACCAGGTACCTAAGAGACATACACATCGCTCAAAACCTCTTTCGACGCGTAGTCCGCGCCTCCAAGGACATAGACCTCGTACGTCGACGAGGACGAGGACGGATCATGCTGCACCACAGCGCAGAACTCGGTCCTCGCCGCGACTGTCCCGGTGGTCGTCTGATTATACCATCTGTCCTCCGCGATGTCATACACAAACACATATTTCCACGAGTTCTGCAACTTAACTTAGCACCTGAACATACACCCGGTTGGAAACTTACAGGAACCATAGTGGCATTCACCCCATCCGCAACCGACGGCACCTCCCCACCCATATACACCAACACCCCGTCCCCAACAGGAACATACACCAACGCTCCGTTCTGCACAGGCGTAAACGGCGCCGATAGCTGCCGGAACTCGCCACTCGTCGTATTAAACGCGATCATCCCATCCGCATACACCCTGCTTCCGTCCGTGATCGCAGGCGTGGTATCCCGATCCTGAAACCCACCCACCCAGAACGAACTCTGCAACCGGGGCACATTGCTCGACACTAACCACTCGTCAGTTCATCTCACAATGGGTAAACTGCAGGGGGACAGGAACAGCTACCGCCAGAATACAGCCGCACAGGCTTGATACTCGTTTTCTGCACCGCCCACTTCTCATCCGCGAGGTCGTACGTCCAGATCCCCTCGTCAAGGGAGGTATTCCCTAGTCCGTGCCCCCCGTACGAGTATAGTGCCGTGTTGGCGGCGTTAGACCAGAGCGTTTGGCCTTTTAGCTGTGGGACGGTAGGGTCGATGAGGCTTAGGTGGTAATTTGAGCCGTTGTTGATGGAGAAAGGCTGCGTGAGGTCGAGGTCGACGAGGTAGTTGTCTGTTGCTTGTTAGAGATGCTCTGTTGTAGCTGGTCGACGTACGTGTGCTGTTCCCGTCGCCTGGGAGAAGGCCTCCATCGAGATTGATGAGGTAGAGTGTGTCGTTTATGATGTTTGCTGGGAAGGTTAGTGCTGGTCTGTCTCGGCGAGTGAGAGATAATACCGCCGAATTGGTAGCTTCGACAGAAGCCGTTGGAAAGATCTGTTAGGATATGTGCTTCAGCTAGAGGGAAGCTCAAGAGGAGAGATAGTAACATGTGGAGATCCATTGTCTTGTGCGCTTCATCGATTGACGATGGAAGGTGTACAGGCGAGGCCGTTCGGAAATACTGGTCCTTTTGCAAGTGCAGTATGACCACCACTATCGATTAATGTGTTTGCAATACTCTTGGGCTGGTAATTAGATTATACTTGGTATACAGCTAAGCGCGCGCTTTGGCGCGTTGGCTGTGTCAGCATCCCCTGCAATCCAAGAAATTAGGGCTTGTACAGCCCCCGCACTGGCGCTACGCTGGATGATATGACTGGCCAATTCTTACTGATCACGGTCCTTCAATTGTACAGACTACAGCCAGGATCTCAAAATATCGTACGTTAATTATCTCTATCATAGCACACATCAGATCCACCGCGATTCACCCATCCTCCTATTCCCCTCCCGCCTCGTCTCCATGATAGTCGTCGACGGCACAGTCTCCTCAACCAACGTGCTCTCAGATTGCTGCCTATCACTACCTTTCTCCACTCCCAACGCAATGACCTGATGATCCCCCTCCTTCCTCAACACAACTGGGATCCTCCCCGTAGACTTCCACCGCCGCTCCGCCGCATACTGGGCAATCTCACCTCCCCCAGCACTCGCCCCCAGCACCAACATCCGGTTATCCAGATAATCAAACGCAGGAAGCCCCCTCCACCCTTTCGTCCGGACCGTCTCGGCAATCACCAGCAGCACAATAACCCCCGTAATCACCGCCGTGGCAACAATGTACACCCTCGACCCGAGCCGCAGCGCAGAGACATGCACCGCCGCGCTGGCCGGGCTCGCAAACCCGCCAACTACCAGCTGCGCCGACGCATACGCGACGAGCATATCGTCCACGAATGAGACGATGGCGTTTTCCAGTCCGGTGAGCGTGATCTGCTCTTCTGACAGAGAGGTATTTGTACTTGCTACGGCGGTGCGGTAGTCGCTGATACTGGCGTTCAGCGCATCACCCAGCGTTGATCTATAGAAGCTTGTGAGGTCGTTTGAGATGAGTTCCAGTTGGCGGGTGACGACGTGGGCGATGCGGTGCGTTGGATCGATTGATGCGGCGGCGGCAGCGTCCAGCCTTGCGACGGTGATGTTCCGCGAAGGGATGTCGACGGAGACGTTGAAGCGTGTTGGGGTGTACGTCACGGTGCATTGCGTTGCGTTCAGTGGGGTGTAGTAATCCCCCGCGGCGATGGCGAGGTACCGTTTCGCTGTGTATGCTGTGGGCTGGCTTGAGACGCCGATGCCGACGATGGTGCGGTCTCCGCGGCCGATGTAGACGGAGTACTCTGGGGCGCTGAGGTTGCTGTCTGGAAGGGGGCCCATCAGGGCGTACAGGTTGTTGCCGACTTGGTCGATGGTGAACTGTGAGGTGTGGTTGTAGATGCATGCGACGTCGGCTGCGAGACCGGTCTCCTGGTAGGTGTAGTTTGTTGCGCGGGGGTTCTCGCGGCGCAGGGTATCGTCGACGAGGCCGACGGGGGCGCCGACGCCGTATGACCGGCCGTGGTAGGTGTAGCCCGAGTTGTCGAGCTTGTTGTGGTTGCGGATGCTGCCGTCGACGGTGGTGGCGGTGCTGGCGGAGGTGACGAGGGGGGTCAAGAGGCCCATGCCGACGGAGTAGGTGAAGTAGCCCTTGGTGTTGCGGATGGTTGGGCCAGTCTGATCAATCTCGGACGGGTATTCTTTGATTAGGGTGGTGTTTGACCAGTCGGGGACCATGAGAGTGGTGCTATTAAATGCGACGGAGTTGGCCGGGGTGAGAGCACCAGTCCAGAGGGCCGATATCACCGCGGAAAGATTGACCATGACGATCGAGAGGGCGATCATCCACAGGGGAAGGGTCCAGTTGATCGAGGGCGTAGACATGGCGGACCAGAGGCCGAGCACGTTCAGCGAAGTAGGCGATTTACCGAACAGAATGCGGGTAGCCCAGTTGATAAGCCGACAGAGAGCAAATATTTGAATCGTACTGAGGATTGTCGAAACGATTTGAACGGCCGTCTGGATGGATGTCCGGTACTCGTCGACCAGGCCATAGAGGCCCGGAGGCATATGCCAATTGCGGACATCGCTGAGCACGAGGAGAATGCTCAAGACGACAGGAATCAGCAGGAGACAGAACAGCAGATGCTCCCAGATCGCATGCGATTGCTGTGATGATTTTTCGACAGAATCCTCCGAGACTCTGCGTTGCGACACGAGTCGTTGTTTCTCGTCGTTTCTCCTGTACAAGGTACGCATTTCTATAGAAGTCACTCAACACACGAAATCTGTCGCACATTTTGGGCACATCATCTCTTATGTTTCTTGCAATTAGATCCCCTCATCGAGCGCATAGTGGAGTCGGCGCCTAAACCCTGCACCTCATTGCATGTTCCAATTGCGGCGCAGCTTGCAGCTTTAGCATCGAATCATGCATATCGGTGTTTCACATATAATTTTCCTTTTCCCGAATACACACAGTCATAAGCGCCGACTTCCCCTTTCACCTCACATCCACCCAAAATGACATTCTCATCCTCCTTTTCACCTCTTAGCCCAAACCAAAGCAACAAGCAACATGACATGCTACTACCGCAACGGCACCCACGCCGAAGACGACACCCCCTGCCCAAACGCCAACACCTGCTGCCCCTCCAGCGCAACATGCACCGACAACCTCCTCTGCCGCGACAAGAACAATCACGCCAACGGCTCGCTGACCAACTTCCCCGACGGACACGCATACAATTACACGGGGCTGTACTATACCCCCTCCTGCCAGGACAAGAGCTACAAGGGCTGTTCTGTAGCTTGTACGACGTGTACGTTCCCTTCCCAGTCCGCCGATGAGAATTGGTCGTGTTGATGACAGTAGATGATTCGTATCGCGGGCAGTATATCTGGGCGTGTAACGCCGCGCTGACGAGGTACTGTTGTCATGATGATGAGCGGAGTTTGAGTCAGAGAGATTGTTGCGAGGGTGGGACGTTTGAGCTGGCGGTGCCGGAGAGTTCGGCTTTGCCCTCTGCCTCTGCCTCTGCCTCTGCGTCTACGAGTGCGAGTTCGACTTCGACGTTGGCTGGGGCACCGTCGGGGTCAGTTTCTGCTTCGGCTACGGCAGCAACAGGAACAAAAAGCCTGTCAACAGGCGCAAAGGCAGGCATTGCGGTTGGCGCGGCAGGAGCGGGAATTATCATCATCGTGCTGATCGCACTGCTACTCAGGGCACGGAGAGGTGCAGCCAAGGCCAAGGCCCTAGAGCAAAGTCAAAGTGAAAAGAATACATTCCGGACAGGTGGAGCCAGAGCGAGACGAGCGGAACTCGAGGCACGGGCAGACGCACCACCGAGCGAGCTGTCTGCGAAGCCGGCACGGAGCCGCTTCGAACTGGCATCTTGATATGTACATGACTTGATTATGACTGCATCAGTTATGACTGAAACGTACAGCCGATTAAACATATACGCCAAATATCTACAAGAAGAGGAGTGAGAGGAGCAGGCTACAGACGGAAGAAGGTCGACAGCGTAGGCGAGATCGACTGCTTCTTCACGCTCGGCGGTTTGGACTCGGGGGCTGGCTTTGGGGTCCCCGGTCGAGACTGTTGTCGGTAGAACCGGAAGGACTGAGAGTCTGTGGGAGAGACGCCCAGGGCACGCTCTGAGGTGCTGCTACTGGACGCATAGTGCCGGCGTTCCTTGATGGGCCAGGTGGAGAGGCAGGCGCGGGGGAGGAGGCCGTGTTTTTCGGTGTCGGTCAGGGTACACAGTGCCTGAGGAGTCAGTCAATTTATCCGGAGGAACTGAAAGAGCCGGCGACTGGACTGGACTGGACTGGACTAAGCTTACCCATCCGTCGTCAAAGAGCTGCTCCAGGCAGACCATCTGGCCCTCGCCAACCTGCAGCTGGCCGTCGCTGCGGGACGTGAATTCCATTTCGACGCGGTACACCTGCTTTGTCCATAGTTTCACCGACGGCACCTCCAGCTGGGTCTGCGACGGCGCCCGCCCAGAATGTGCGGGGCTTCCCTCCCGCGAGGTCTGTGGTGGCGGTGACTGCCGCTGGCATGGAGCGGTGGTGGACTGCGACGGCGAGGGGCTGGACTCCCTGACAGCCTCTTGGTGCGCGCCTTCTTGCGAGATACGGCCTGCCAAGGCGTCGACCCCGATCTCTGCGGGGTTACTCATGGCGACAGTGCCGGAGGACACACTCCGCACCTTGACCAGGTCCAGATCATCGCTGATGTCGCATGGAGGCTGAAACGGATGCGCTGGCGGGTAGCTGTCGTAGGCGCGCGCGTATGGGTTGCGACTGCTCAAGGAGCTCCACGTTGAGGACGCGTTGTCTTTCGGCGGCGGCGGAGACTGCGTTTTGAACGTCGCCGTTACTGATTTGACCGTCGACGAACCGTTGGCGTATAGACCGGCGACAATCTTTTGCAGCCGCGTCGGCGGTGGTGGGGGGATGTGCTCGAACTCCTGTGCAAAGATGTAGCCGTGGGAATAGCGGCTGCGCCTGTCGGGGAGTTGTTTTTTGCCTCGTAAAGGCCTGACCTTGTCCGCTGCGAGGGTGAACAGATTGCTTCGTGTCTGGTTGGTGGAGTAAATGCTGCTGCTTGTGTCGTTGATAGACGGTGACTTTTCCTTGCTGGACTTGAATATCTCCGTTACATTGACCAGCGTGGAGGTGCTGCTAGTGTACAGATTTGACGCGAATCGGTACGCAGGATTTGGCTTCTCTGTCGGGGGCGGAGCCTCTTCCCCCCGGATGGCCTTAAGCAGAGTCCGCTTCTTGCGATGCAGCCACCAGAAGATCATCCCAATCAAGATGACCGCGAGGCTCAGGGCCGAGATGACAATCCCGGCTTGCGCGCCACGGGTCAAATACTCCCGGTGAGGGACGGCGGCGGCTGTAGTGGAGGCGAAATGGGAGGCGCTGGTGGCAGAGCTAGGCTGGGTGGAGGTCGGCATCGAGGTGGTATGAAGGGTAGTAGGGGTCGTAGAGTGGTGAGAGGTGGTCGAAGATGTGGTGGACGAAGAGGCTGTTGTCGTTGTCGAGGTAGTCATCGTGGCAGCAAGTTGAAGCGGATGGTCGAAATGTCCTTGTCGCAGATCCAAGGGGGCTTCTGACGGAAGGGTCGCGGCTTTTACAGCAGCGGCCTTGGGGTCGGGCAGGGTGTCTGTTATTGTTCCACGAAGCATTCCAGGCTCGGTCGAGCCCTGTGCGTCAAGCAATGCGCCTGCTGTCGCGCTTGGCTTCGTCACTGTGTTGCCAAGTTCTTTGGTGGGAGGATCTGCAACGACAGCCAGTCGAACATTACCAGAACGGTACATGCCATCATCGTATGATCGTCCTGGGGCCTCTTGTGGTGAAGCTTTTGAGCCTTGGGCTCCTACAGGGGGACTCGCAGTGACAGATGTCATGTTGATTGCGGGTGGTGCAACAACGTTGGGGATAGAGTCTGGACTTTAAAACCAGCCCGGTCGCACCGGCATTATTATACTACGGAATGAGTTTGTTTGTTTATTTTGAGGTTGAGACTCTGCCCTTTCAAGACGCCTATTAATAGTGTTGATGCTTAATGCTTTGCTGATGCCCAGCGAGTGACACCATGCGCCAAGAATGTTGTGGAAACGCTGAAATGACGCCCCTGGATTGAAACTTAGAACGGGTCGGCATGTCAGCTTTCATAAACTCAAAGGTGATGGGCCTGCTATTGACAGGTTACACCAAGCATCGAGTCGGAGGGTGATTTCGAGGGACATCGTGCGTCAAGACGGCCATCGGTGGAATGCGAGGCGTCGATGTAATGGTGGTAGAGCCAGTAGATGAAATCACTCAACATGGCCACTGACTCGTAGCCCGCAGAAGGCATGGAGGTCAATATATCTGTCAACAAGGGGAAAGTCCGTTCGATCGGACCTTGTCCTCGGGGAGGGACCGGCTTTGATCATCCTTGTTCTCCATGGATAACAAACGTCAGGTCAGAATCTGTGAATCATCTGTTCCACGGACAAGAGAATGTCTTCAGCTGTATCACGCTAGTCCATACTGTCTTGAAAAGACTTTTGATCAAGTTCCTTGAGACCCTGCAAAGGTGGAGGATGATGAGTTTTGAACATGGTTTGCAGTGATGGATATCAGGGTGCCGAATTGCGGGAAGCAGCTTCTGATGGTCAATCTGGGGTTTTGCCCGGGGAGCAGAAGGGTCGTAGGCAGAAAGCAGTGTGTTGTTGATGAGATTGTTGATTTGTCATGGAATGAGTTGTGTCAGTCTGGCATTCCAGTGGCATCATAGCCAGACATTAGCGCTCGCCCTTGATTCAATCAACTCAGGCAAAAGCGCACGACGAGAGCAATGGCAGCCATGTGCAAGTTGATCGTAGTCTAAAATAATTTTGGTGGTCATGAATTCAGTGATTTACACAGAGAATTGCAGACGTACACTGCAAAACAAATCTCCTTGTGGCCACTGTCCTGGCTCAGGACTCCCTCATTCTGGAAGATGTGTCTGAAGGCAGTGGAATCATATAGGAGTCGAAGAATGAGGGCTGCAGGTGATGACTTTGATTATTAATCTCCGCATGTTGGAATCCTGGTCTCTGTGTTCTGATCTTCTTGTCCATCTGGTGTTGGCTGTGTTGATGTAGATGGGGTATGGCTTTTACAGAACCATAATTATATGGCTTGCAGCACTTCTAGTTAGTAAATATGCCGATCTAATATGGAGGTCGCTGGAGCGTCTAAATAGACTGAATGGTTAATTTAAACATCTGTTGTTAATAGGTGTCATTGTGGTATTCTACCTAGTATCCTAGTCAGAATCCTGCCGAAAATATATAATTGACTCCATACTGTTTGGAAGCACAATCCCAAGAATAACGCTAACACCATCCTATACACTCTAACCAAGACACTCAATTACTGTAACTAAGTCCAATCTCTAGACATTAATTATCCGGTTGCAGAACAACCGTTGACTAGTAATATAATCATAAGGAGCCTAAAGACCTTGCCAATGGTACTTTGATTGCAATCTTGTGAAGTCAGTAAGCATCGTCTACTACTTCATAGTACTACGAGCAAATAAATTATGTACTCCTAGTAGATAATATTTACTATGCAAGCTCATTGTATATCGGTATATCTGCCACTGCTGAATTGTGACCTCGGCTGAAGCTTCCGCTGCAGTCCAAAACAGGTAAGAAGCTGCCCAGCTGCCTCAGGCACGAACAGTCCGATTTATTCCGATCGGAAGTCACCCATTACCATAGCAAATAACCGCTCTTTATTATCAGAACTATCTTGAAACATTTACAGCTCAATGTCTGCAATTCATATATGATCTATCAAATATCAATCTACTCCGTACCCAAAGAGTACTCATGTAGGGAGATACTCTCTTGAAAAGCGTTGAGAGTGAGCATCGGAGGAAGTCGGCAGAGTCGGCACCTAGCTTAAGCATCAAGGAATGCCATCCCTGTACGCACATGGGCGCATGCTTCAAGCATTGGCAGGGAATAACTTAGTTAATTACAGAGGTCGATTACGTAACTCTGCATATGCAACCTCCAGGTCATGATGATCAGCTGCCGGAAAATGAGGCTGAGAGGTGAGGCTACCTGCAGGACGCTACTGTTAATTTCCTCCTTTCCCAACATCAACACAGTATCAATTGATCAGTGAATGATATTCAGAAGCGTTGCAAATAGGCATTGTTAATGGCAGAAGATTGATGTCTACTATTCTAGCAAACAACACGTAGACAACACATGTCCTCCATGCGGTAACTGTCGGTGACCTCAGGATGATCTATCCGCAGAAATTTCAGGCTAAAACAACGGAGGATTCTAGCCTGCTTGGGAGAAAGACAAAACCAGGGCGAACCCTCTGATGTATCCTGGGATATATAACCGGTGCAGCTCCCTCGGATGAGTCGCATTCGACCTCTCGATTCTACTCACTACAGAGGCCACTTTGAACGACAGAGCTGGGTGAGCTGCTGAGGACCAGTCTTCTTCCCAATTTTCAACAGGTTTGGAGCACCAAACCAGCCGGTGAGACATTTGGCAGTTTCCCTCGGAACCAAGGACTATTTTTCCCTCCAGCCGAAACCAGTGGCTGGTCTCTTCCTGTTCTGGTCGATTCTGGCGTGCAAACTCCGGTTCTGGTGGAGCCGCAGCCCGAATCGGCCCGGTTTTATTGACTCCGACACGGCGGCCTGCTTTTTCGCCCGTTATGATTGGCGCAGAGCTCTGGATCGGGTGGGCCGACCCAAATTATCGGACCCATAATTCGATCCACCGCACGAGAAAAAAATTCGTCATCCATCCTGCTCTTGCCAGCTCCAGCTCTGCTCGCCTTTTGTTCTGCCAGTCTTTTGTCAATTGCTTTGGATTTATTGTCAAGGACTCAATTGACACTAAATAGTGTGTAGTAAGATAGCAGTACGGAGTAAATCTGTCCTATTCAATTGTAGAGTCAAGTGGATGGGTCACGATGGTTAGTCTTGTGGACTCGATGGAGCTGTGCGGCCAGCAAGGACCCTGAATAATTGGCTGTACCAGGACGAATGCCACCTTGGCCATAACCCGGACGAACCCGATAAGTCCATCCAGTTGTCTGGTCGATGAGGGAATGAAACAAGAGAGATACGTTGTCAGGTAATCTTGTAGATAGGGCTTCCCAACGCACTAACACCGACTGGTGAAAATTCGGCATGGAAGTATTTATGTCCATGATGGGTCTCTGGGTAATCCTGCCCTCCCGCCTTTTTCTCCCCCCCAAAAGCTCTCCCAGCTCCCCTTTTCCTTTCTCTCCTCTTTTTTTTCCTTTCTCCTCCCACACACACTCCATCTGACCTTCTTTGAGACCATCTCATCTCAACACCACCACAAAAATCACAATGGCCTCCTCTCGTGTCTTTGCCTCTCGCCTGGCCTCCCAGATGGCCGCAACCACCAAGGTTGCCCGCCCTGCCGCTCGTCTGCAGCTGGCTCCCAAGCGGACCTTCACCACCCAGAGAAAGACCGCCCTCCCCATGACCCCCTTCCAGACCGTCAAGCGTCAGCAGCCCAGCCTCATCCAGGCCAACGCTCGCCAGGTCTTCGCCAACGTTCAGTCCCGCCGCCAGTACTCCTCTGAAATCGCCGACGCCATGGTCCAGGTCTCCCAGAACATGGGTATGGGCTCTGCCGCCATCGGTCTCGGTGGTGCCGGTATCGGTATCGGTCTCGTCTTCGGTGCCCTCCTCCTCGGTGTCTCCCGCAACCCTGCTCTGCGTGGTCAGCTCTTCTCCTACGCCATTCTGGGTTTCGCCTTCGTCGAAGCCATCGGTCTGTTCGACCTGATGGTTGCCATGATGTGCAAGTACGTCTAAACGTGACCTCGATGGTCAAGGATGTGCACGTTGCCTGGTTGTTGAACGAATCGAATCGACTCGAAAAAAATTCCTGCCATACGACTGCATGTCTGTGATGAAATCAAGACCGAAACTTCTTGCTTTCAAACTTCTCCGTCCGGCGTTGTGTGCGTTGGCTCGGGGGGTGTGTGTTTTAGAGGTAATTTGTGGTGGTCTTTTTGATATATCATGTACTACTTTTCCCGCCAGCAATCTTCCCAATCAAATAAACTGTACATATAGAGTTTAAAATGGCCACTCACCTGGGAGCTCCTCATCTATCTCTTCGTAGTATTTTATCTTTGAGTAGACTCGGACTGAATCTGGGGAAGCTCTGACAGTCACTTGCCAGTGTCTCAAGAAGTGGACAGTCTATGGAGTCAACTGCCGCGGTGGATTTGGGTTGGCGCCTCCCGGCTTCATCCCCAGCTACTCTACTTCAATACTGACAATTAGCTTTCAATTCCTCTCTACTCATTTTGAATATGTTATTCTTGTAAGAAACCATTCAGTACATCAATTGCGTTGCATCTGTTCAGTTTGACTGAAATGAGCCGTGCTGTGCGGTGGATCGACGGCAATCCGGATCAAAAATGGACTCTCCACGGTTGTTTTGTTTGCTCAACAGATAAAACCAGTTGTTGGGAATGGCTACATACAGGACGCAGGACGCATATGCAATGATAACGATAGCTCCATTGATACAACTATCAACAAAGTACCAGGACTAGTCTACGCTGAATCCCGACATTGAAAAAAAAAATTGCAATGCAGCTTGCCAGTTGCCGAGTCACCGCCTGCAACGGAAGCAAGGTATCTTCGGACGACGGGCAAGCCCTCATTTCCGATTCGATGCGAGATCGGGAAGTCGTGGCTCTTCTGCAGCCAGTGCCGGGTATTTTCTAGCGTGCTCAACCAGTCATATGCGAGAGGGATTCAGCTGAAGAATGAGCGTTCTTATGCACGCATTTCTGCTTATGTACTCCGAAAGGGGTGGAATGGGATATTCTACGCGTTGTTATG